ACTTTTATAATTTTAAAGTTTCTAATACTCCCTGAATGAGATATGGTCAATTTCTCAGTCTTCTGTTTGATCGCTTAAATGGTCCTGTAAAGCCCCCACACTTCCATAAATATTGCTTTCGCTATCCAGAAGTGACATGTGAACATCAAGCTATGCAGTACATTCGAGGATTCGTTACATCTTCTCCAAACAAAAAACTACTGTCATAATTTCATTTAACAAAAAAAAAACAAAAAAAAAAAAAAAAAAAAAAACTATCTTTTCACATCCCAGTTTTGACGTGACAAATGGGCACAGGGACTACTGAAATGTCATAATATTCCTCTACTAAGTGCATGTTTTTGTGAATTGTTCAGCACAGTTTTTTTTTATCCAATTTTCCCTTTTCAATCGGTTTTTGTTCATTTTACAATTTTCTCTAATTCCAAGACTATAGATTACATAATTTATTTTTTGTTTGGAAAATTTTCTTTCCTTCCAAAACGTGTATCTCAGGTTATATCCACAGAGTTAAAGTTGCATTAATGTTAAGTTTAAAATTTAGTACTAAAAATAAAGCTTACTTTTGTTGACGAGAAACCGAGATGCTTCATCGATATTGATTGTATTACTTGCAGAAGTCTCAAACCAACCACTAAAGCCTCGTTTCCCGGCAGTAGTCCTTCCCATTCGTGCTGGGTTTGTTTACCACACCTTCCTTAGGCTGGTCGCAGTAGCAATAAAATTACCTTAATTCGTATTGTATGTGATTGTTATACATTATTTTACTGGAAAGAAATTTTCTTAATTAGTGTCGCTACATCCCCCCCCCGTCTGGAGAGGCTTGCTAATAAGTATAACGGAACTGAAGAAGAGATAATGGACATAAAACATCTTTATTAAGAAAAAATGTTGTGCTTGAAGGGAAAGCTTTATCATGGTTTAACCTGATGAGCTGTTTTGCTGTCTTCTCCAATTTCAATTTGGCCTATTACTAGGACAGAAATCAACCATGTTTTTATATCCTGATACCAATGTAATTAACCTATGGTAAGTTTGTGCTGAATGGAGCCCAGTCTCATGGGCCCTTACTGATGTAATGACTTCTTAACATCATGGACTTTTCAGAGCTGCACTTGGACTCATGAAATGGGAGTGTGCCTTCACTACTTATTCCACCAAGGGTTGTTTCATTAACTTGGTTACCCTCCACACTGTAGTTTTTCTTACATCTCTCTATCTTATTTGAGTGATTCTTTTTTCATTTACCTTCACTGTCCTGGGTCCACCACCCTCATTGAGAATGATGTTCCAATATCGGTTATCTCTGAGAATCTTGTATGTTGTGATAGCGTCTCTTTTCATCATGGTTGTAGATTGAACCTTTCATAATTACACTACCTTAGTTTAAAGATAAAGCCCAAATGAAATAACCTCTGAAGATTTTGGAAAGGTATTGATCAACCTGATTATGATGATGAAGATACAGTGGTACCCACTTTTTCGTAGTTCCGGCAATCTCGTAAAAATTCGCACAATCATAGGGGTATTTTCGTTATAAATTGGACTCGCTTTTATAGGTTGACTCGTGAGAGTCGTTAGTTCGTCCGGGACGGTTACCCACTGGTGAGGCAGGCGGCAGCCAGTCTGGCATTGTTTACCAGTGAGCGAGGTCCCTCACGTGCTCCAGCGAAAATATTTCATAATATTACATTTATTTTAGTTGCTTGCAAGTTACTAAATTAAGCTACCATGGCTCCCAAAGGACAAGCACCTAGTGTAGTTACAAGTGTGGCCGAAAAAAGCTGTCCAGGATGTATAGACACCCTACACAACTTTATGTTCCATAGTGGCCAGAAAAATGAAATAAAAGGATGCTGTTGTTGCAAAGGGAGAAACTATGCTGACAAACAATGAGATCACCAGTATGGAAAGAGGGTTGAGAAGTGATTATTGGTTGTGGATAAATGAGAAACAATTAGCAAGAGGTATTTATGACTTCGTTTATTTGTGAAAAAGGGTAGGCAGCTGCATTGAAGATTTGGTAAAGAATTGCCTGGCCAACATAGTGGTTGAAGTGAGTGAATTTAAAGCCAGCAAGGCTGGGTTTGGAGAGATTTAAGAACCATATGGCATACACATGTGTGGTTAAAAGGCTTGGTTGAGGCTGCAGTTCGGACCACCAGGCGGGGCTGAAAAAATATGTGCTTGAATTCCAGGCGTAACATAGAGGCTGAAAGGGACAAACCTTGAACAAGTGTTCAATTGTGATGAAAACAGGCTCTTTTGGAGAAAATGCCAGATAAAGAGGACCCTTCATTACACAAGAGGAAAAGGCATTGCCACGGACACAAGCCTATGAAAGACAGGTGATGCTATGTTTCTGTGTAATGCTAGGTGGGGTTTTCAAAGTGAAGCATTACTAGTGTTTACCAATTTCTGAAAATCCCAGGTGTTCAGGAAACAAACAATGTTATGAAGAGTAAATTGTAGTGTTTTGGAAATCAATAGTAAGGCATGGGTCAGAGGGAAATTTCGTCGAGTGGGTCAATTGAAGTGTTTTTGGCCCTAGTTGTGAAGGAGTTATCTCCTGGGAAAGAATAATTGGGGATCTCAAGTGCTGCTGTAAATGGGACAATGCACCTGCTCATCCTCCAACTTGGATGACCGAATTTTCGAGGGAGTTTGGGTTCATCCCAGTAAAAATTCTGCCCCCTAATACCACTCCTCTCCTCCAACCCATGTGACAAGCAGGGTTAATTGCAAACTTTAAAAAAACTCTACACAAAAGCAATGTTTCACAGGTGCTTGGACCGTGGACCACAGGACACTCACTTGACACCTAAGGAATTTTGGAGAAGAACACTTCAGCATTCCTCCACTGCATAACCCTTATAGGTATGGCTTGGGAGGGGTGTACTACCAGGACTTTGAACTCTACTGGAGAAAAAATTGTGGGCCAGATTGTGTCGACAAGAGGGATGTTTGAAGAATTTGGGGAACTGACCCCTAAAGAGGCTTATGTCTGTTGTAAAATCAATTGTGGCACTGGGGAGTTCCATGGGGGTTGGTTGGAGTTTGGAGGATGTGGAAGAATTGGTGGAATGGCCACAATGTGAAGAGCTCACCCTGAGGAGCTGCAAGTGGCTTCAGCAGGAAGTGCAACACATCGCAAAACTCAGATCTTGCTGCAGAGGAGGAGGAAAGAGGAGATGGAAGAAGGTACCTTCTTCAGTAATAAAGAGATTTTTTTATGTGTTGTAAGAGGGGAAAGCTTTATGGAGAAAAAAGAAACATCACCCTAACCAAAGGTGTTGCAAGCAAGGTTTGGCAACATGTAACAGTGACAAAAGTCTTGGGGCCATTGTAGGGAAGTTGTTAAAGAGACGCCAGAAACAGAAGCTCTCTCACAGTTATTTTGTTGAGACAGGACTCCAGTGCTCAGGTGGTCCTAGTGGGCATTAAGAAACAGAGAAAGGAGAAGCAACCCAGAAAAGCAAATGGGTACCTGACGGTTGTTGATGGAAGGGGATTTACCTTCAAAATATAAACAATCCACTCTCCTCCAGGTCCTCCCTTACACTAGGAAGAATCTCCAATAAAAGCTTAAGTGTTATGTGTTAATGTTTCATTATCAATTTCCTTGTTTGTTTATGTAACTACATGTATATTTCATGTTAAAAATTTTTTTGTTTTTAATACTTTGGGTGTCAGGAAAGGAACGGATTAATTGTATTTACATTATTTTCTTATGGGGACATTGTTCGTTAAATCGTAATTTTCGTTTACATAAGTAACGGCTCCAGGAACGGGATTAATTAGAAAACGAGGGGGTCCTACTTAGTTTGTTTTTCATGCCACTCAGTGCTGAACATTTGAAGTGAGTATCCCTCCAGATCTTTCTCTCTTGCCCAAATTCTGAGAGTTGTTCCCCCTTGTTACTGTGGGGATTGGTATCTTGCCCTTTTCTTCTCTCATATCTTCATTACCTCAGCATTCTATTAGGTATTTTTTTTTTTAATCTTCTTACAATCCAGTCATTGAACACTAAAAGTTATGCAGGTCCACCACCCACTCTATTGATGGAAAACATGATCAGAAGTTTCTGTTTCTGAAATCTACTATTGAAAGCCTAGTAGCTCAGTGATGAAGGCACAAAAAAAATGGACCTGATATGTACCAGGGCCATGGTTTAATCACCCATCCTTTTTCTTTTTGTTTATTATATTAATTTAAAGTCTGAATCAACCTTTAAATAGATTTGGTAGGAATAATACTATTTATATGCAGTATTTTATTAAGGCTAGAATTAAGATGCCTAGAGTTAGTTTTCGTTGCAACATAAAAATATCTAAATTATCATTTAATTACATCTTATTCCATAGATAATATTTATTTATTTTTATTTTTTTTTTTATTATCACACTGGCCGATTCCCACCAAGGCAGGGTGGCCGAAAAAGAATAAACTTTCACCTGCATTTCGCTCCATCACTGTCTTGCCAGAAGGGGTTGCTCTTACATAGTTTTTAAAACTGCCAACATAATCATCCCTCCTTCAGGAGTTGCAGGGCACTGTACTCCCATCTCCAGGGACTCAAGTCGGCATTGCCGGTTTTCCCTGAAACCCCTTCATTAATGTTACTTGTCACACTCCAACAGCACATTCACGTATTAAAGCCATTTGTCTATTCACTCCTATCAATCACACACTCACGCATGCCTGCTGGAAGTCCAGCCCCTCACACACAAAACTCCTTTCCCCTCCTCCAACCTTTCCTAGGCCGACCCCTACCCGCCTTTCCTTCCCACTACATGGACTGGATACACTCTTAAGTCAACTCTGTTTACTCAATTCTCTCTACATGTCCGAACCACCCCCCCATCAAAACAAATATGAAAATTTGCATGCCTGTCTGTTAACATACCATTTAATGTATACGCTATCACTATATTGAACTGAGTGTTTTCAAACCTTGTTAGCCAGAAGCACTGTAGGAAATAGCGTGCAGCCCATACAGCTTAGGGTACTTTGGTATCAAGGTCTGTCTTCCATTTCGTCACTGCATCAAAAGTTTGGGCACGAGTCACATCAAATACTACAAATGCTCCAACTGCTTCCTTATAGTACACTCTTGTCATATTTCCAAATCGCTCTTGACCTGAAAAAAATAATTAAATTATTTAATTTCATGCTGAAATATGTAGAGCAATACAACAGATGATTAATAAATGCAGGCACTAAGTGCCACTTTGTGCCGACAGTTCACGATATGATTGTCTCCATCAGAATTTGCAATACTCTTCACTATCATACACACTGCAACCATATCTACTTCCTTATTCATTGTTTCCATATCCCAAAGTGTATTTACAGGCTATCCGGAAATTTGAATTCCCTGTACAGTGGACCCCCGGTTATTGGCCGTAATCCATTCTAGAAGGTCGGCCGATAACTGAAATAGCTGAAAGCCGAATTAATATTTCCCATAAGAATTAATGGAAATACAATTAATCCGTTCCAGACAAAAATTATTCACACACACACAAAAAAAAAAAAAAAAAAAAAAAAAAAAATTAACAATTATGTAAGTATTACATATCTTGCTCTTATGGGATTTCAACTTAAGGCACCTAAAATGGAGGAATATAGCAAATAATATTGTTGCAGTAATAACACCAGGAGTGCAGCTACTGTTGAAAAAACTCACACTCACACGAAGCTATTTTAAAATCTCTGCACAAAATTTCAAGTTAAACCAGAAAATAATAGAGCCTACTAAGGGAACTGGAGAATACCACTAGACCTCATATTCACTAACAATGATGATCTGTAAGAAAATGTCACCATATCAAAAAAAATTACTCGATCACAACAATAAGTGAGGTTCAGGACATGTATGCGAGGAGCCCCAGACGACCAAAAATGAGAACTAGTCAGAGGGAGCATTCACCAAATTCAACTTCAATAACAAAAAACATTAAAGTGGGACCATGTAAACCAAGTCCTAAACCGATATAAGCTGGGAAGATATACTAAGCAAACCAGACCCAAAACTTATGCCTAGAAAACAGATTAACTCGGTGGGCACTCGATGCTATGCACCAAGGCTTATTCCTCTAAGAAAAAGGAGGAGTAGATGTAAAATAGAAAGAGGGACAGGCGCTCCCTTTACAGGCGACGTGAAAAGAATAAACAGAGCGCTAAAATAGGGTCAATATATCGAATATGCGCAGGGGAGACACTGGTCAGAGAAATAGCAAGCATCGGAACATTAATGATAAAACCGAATCCTTTTAGGAGTCAGGAATCGGGGAAGAAACTAAAAGCTATAAATGAAATCGAAAGAAACCCAAAGTAATTTCTTCTCTATGCCAAAAATCAAATCGAAGAACAACGCCAGTATTGGGCCCCTACTTAACAAGGCTGGGTCCTACACAGATGACAGCAGGAAATGGAGTGAGGTTACTCAAGTCCCATATGGAACCTCAGTTCTTTGCAAGCCGCTCAACCAGGGACTGAGAGTCAGAAGATCAAAATGAATTTTTTATGAGAGAGCCACAAAATTTGATTAACACAAGCCTATCCGATGTTATCCTGACGCCAAAATGACTTTCGAAAGGCGATAAATGACATAGCCATGCACTCTGCCCCAGGGCCAGGACCCTCATGGAACTCTGTGTTCATCAAGAACTGCCAAATAAGCCCCTATCACGAGCCTTTTCCATCTATGGAGAGGGAGCATGGACACGGGGGTTCGGTCCCTCAGTTACTAAAAAACAAACAGACATATGGCCCCATCCACAAAGGGGGCAGTAAGCAACAGCAAAGAACTACAGACCAATAGCACTAACATTTCCCATTATCATAAAAATCTTTGAAAGGGTTTCACTAAGAAGCAAGATCACCACCCATCTAGATACCCATCAGTTTACATACAAACAGGGCAACCATGGGTTTTAGAACAGGTTGCTCCTGTTCTGTCTCAGCTACTGGATCACTACGACAAGGTCTAAATGCACTAGAAACAAAAAGGAATGCAGATGTAATACTATACAGGACTTTGCTAAAAAGCCTTCGACAACTAGTGTGACCATGGCGTAATAGCGCCACAAAATGCGCGCTAAAGGAATTACAGAAAAGTCGGTCGAAGGATCTTAATTTCCTCACTAACAAGAAACACAGAGAGTAGTCGTCAACAGAGTAAAGTCCGAGGCAGATACGGTGAAAAGTCTTGTTCCACAAGCACAGTACTAGCCCCATCTTGTTCCTCATCATCATAATCCGACATAGACAAGGAGGATGTCAGCCACAGCACCGCTGTCTTCCTTTGCAGATGACACCCGAATCTGCATGACAGTGTCTTCCATTGCAGACACTGCAAGGCTCCAGGCAGACATCAACCAAATCTTTCAGTGGGCTGCAGAAAACAATATGAAGTTCAACGATGAGAAATTTCAATTACTCAGATATGTAAACATGAGGAAATTAAATCTTCATCAGAGTACAAAACAAATTCTGGCCACGAATAGAGCGAAACACCAACGTCAAAGACCTGGGAGTGATTATGTCGGAGGATCTCACCTTCAAGGACCATAACATTGTATCAATCGCATCTGCTAGAAAAATGACAGGATGGATAATGAGAACCTTCAAAACTAGGGAGGCCAAGCCCATGATGACACTCTTCAGGTCACTTGTTCTATCTAGGCTGGAATATTGCTGCACTCTAACAGCACCTTTCAAGGCAGGTGAAATTGCCGACCTAGAAAATGTACAGAGAACTTTCACGGCGCGCATAACGGAGATAAAACACCTCAATTACTGGGAGCGCTTGAGGTTTCTAAACCTGTATTCCCTGGAACGCAGGAGGGGAGATACATGATTATATACACCTGGAAAATCCTAGAGGGACTAGTACCGAACTTGCACACGAAAATCACTCACTACGAAAGCAAAAGACTTGGCAGACGATGCACCATCCCCCAATGAAAAGCAGGGGTGTCACTAGCACGTTAAGAGACCATACAATAAGTGTCAGGGGCCCGAGACTGTTCAACTGCCTCCCAGCACACATAAGGGGGATTACCAACAGACCCCTGGCAGTCTTCAAGCTGGCACTGGACAAGCACCTAAAGTCAGTTCCTGATCAGCCGGGCTGTGGCTCGTACGTTGGTTTGCGTGCAGCCAGCAGCAACAGCCTGGTTGATCAGGCGCTGATCCACCAGGAGGCCTGGTCACAGACCGGGCCGCGGGGGCGTTGACCCCCGAAACTCTCTCCAGGTAAACTCCAGGTAACTCCAGGTAATTGAAGGCTAATGCTGGCTTCTGGAAGATAGGGAAGAGGAAAAAGGGAGGAGTCAGTGTTTGGAAGGGGAATCCCCCTCTATAAAGACTTAGGTAGCAAAGCCTTCTCTGGGGTTACTTCCCTTCTTTGTCTTTTATTGCCACTAGGACCAACTTGAGAGTCACTGGACCCCTGTCTCACAAAATAACTGTCCAGAGTGCTCTGTTTCTGGCATCTCTAAGATTTCCCTGAAGTGGGACAGGGTTTTGTCACTAAACATTGCAGATATGGCTTGTTTCAGCTTTGTCAGGATGGTGTTTCTCTACAAAAGCTTGCACCCTAGTCCACATTGCACACACCTCTTTAATCTCTGAAGGCACCTCCGTCATTCCCTCTTCCTCCTCCTCTGAAGCAAGTTCCTCAGCTGCAGTCTGTTGCTGTTCAAGATGAAGCTCTTGCAGCTCTTTAGTGGTTAGCTCTTCCCTGTGGTCCTCCACCAACTCTTCCACATCCTCGCCACTCACCTCCAACCCCAGGGACTTCCCCAGTGCCAGAATAGAGTCCATAGGGTCGGCAGCGGCAGGGTCAGGGTCAGCCTCAAACCCTTCAAAATCCCTCTCTTGGGCACAATATGGCCACAGTTTTCTCCAAGCAGGTTCAAAGTCCTAGAAGTCACTCCCTCCCAAGCCTTACCTATAAGACTTATGCAATGGAGGATAGTGAAGTGATTCTTCCAGAACTCTCTTAGGGTCAACTGAGTGTCCGAGGTTACTTCAAAGCACTTTTGAAACACTGCTTTTGTGTAGAGTTTTTTGAAGTTAGAAATGACCTGCTGGTCCATGGGCTGGAGGAGAGGAGTGGTATTAGGAGGCAAGAACTTCACTTTTATAAAATTAAAGTCCCTAAACACTTGGTCTTCCAAGTCTGGAGGATGTACAGGAGCGCTGTCTAGTACCAGGAGGCACTTGAGTGGCAATTTCTTTTCCAGGAGGTATTTTTTTCATACTTGGGCCAAACACATTTTTAACCCACTCTTTGAAAATTTGCCCTGTGACCCATGCCTTATGATTAGCTTTCCACATCACACACAATCTATTCTTCATGACACTGTTTTTCTTGAACACTTTGGGATTTTCTGAGTGATACACGAGTAAAGGCTTCACTTTGAAATCCCCACTAGCATTACTACACAACAAAAGAGTAAGCCTGTCTTTCATAGGCTTGTGTCCTGGCAGTGCCTTTTCCTCCTGGGTAATGTAGGTCCTGTTTGGCATTTTCTTCCCAAACAGGCCTGTTTCATCAAAACTGAACACTTGTTGGGGTTTGAATCCTTCAGCCTCTATGTACCCATGGAATTCCTGCACGAATTTTTCAGCCGCACATTTGTCAGAACTTAAATCTGTCAAACCATCCTTTGCTGGCCATAAATTCACAAACTGCTGCACTTGTTCTGGGCATTTTCTTTGCAAGATCCTCATGCAACTGTCTTGCCTTCTCACAAATAATAGACTCCACAACACTGTCTCCCACTAATTCTTTTTCCTTAATCCACAATAATTATAACTTTTCCATCTCTTCCATTATTGGTGGCCTTTGTTTAGTTAGAAAAGTTACTCCTTTTGCAACATTAACATCTTTGATTTGTTCTTTCTTTGCCAGGATGGATGTAATTGTTGATTTATTCTTCTTGTACATCCTGGCAAGTTCCACCACCTTCATACCACTCTCAAACTTTTCTATCACTTCACGCTTAAATTCCATGGTGTTTCTCACTTTCTTTACCACAGGAACTTTCTTTGGAGCCATGGTTACTTATTTCACAGTTGCACTGCAAAAAAGTACCACTAAAAACAATGGAAAACAAGCAAAATGTT